AGAATTCCACATTTGACTGCTCAGCCCATGATTCTGGCAGCAGCGGGAGGCAGAGGACGCAAGCCAGAAGACACAAGTCAGACCACGGAGCAAACACCCTCCACCGGAGTTCACGCATGGAATCCATGTCCCTGGAGGGTCGGCAGCAGGCTGGCCCCTGTGGTGACCCCGTGAGTCTGTCACTCACGCCTCAGAAACACAGTAGAGTGACAGTGTCAGGCACTGGATGCGGCCTGTCCTCACCCCGGCCCCTGGAGGAGAAGCTCTGAGGAGCACAGGGCTCTGTGAGCGCTGCTGCTGCCCACACTGCGCTCTGAGGAGCCTTCCAATTATGGTGTACATTCCTCCTCCACTGCGCTTTCCTCGTCTTGAGTTCTTGGCTCTTTTTCAGTGATTTGACTTGCTGTCTTTTCTAAATATATGAATATGACTGTCATCCAATAGTGCTGAGAGCGGACACCAAGGTGACACATGCTCGTTATACATGCACATGAAATACTGGAGCTAAAGTGAAGATTGAAGATGATTACTTTTTTATTTGTGGTGGTGGTCCTGGGCCTTGAACTCCAGGACAGCCTGGGTGTAGTCTCTGCATTTCTGCTCCAGGCTCCGGCTCTACTACTGAGCCCCAGCTCCATTCCTCGCCTTTGGTGGTTAATTGGAGATCAGAGTCCTATGGACTTTCCTGCCCAGCCTAGCTTAGAACACAATCCTCAGATGCCATCCTCCTGAGTTGCTAGAATTACACGCATTATTGACAGGTTCCCAGCTAGGTGATGACAAGTTCAGGATCTAACAGCGTTTGCAGAACACTTAATGTAATGGCTCCAGAACACATCTTCTTGTCAGCCATGAGTGATTCTACAGCAACCTCAAGACAAGTCTCAGAAATCCACAAGGCTGAAAGGAGGTCATTTCTTCAACAACAAGGAGGTTCCAAGTCTCAGAACCTAGAAGACATCATCTCTGCAGAATATGGAGGAGTCCATGTGAGGTGATGTTCTGTGGATTAGCTTTATTTGGACAATGGTTTCACAGTTACTGCACCCTTGTGATCATGGGGCTGCACAGAAGTGGAAGGAAAATGCTGAGCAGAGGCAGCAGTGGTACTCACTAGACACTGTGTAGATGATGACTTATACAACTGATGGATGGAGAAATGGGGAGAGCTAGGGAAGGGTGGTATTGTCCAAAGAAAACACTCTTTATCTAACTTATGCAACTGTAACCCCTGTGAACATCACATTTATAATAACAACAATAATTTTGGCAATGCTGCAAATCTAAATACATGTATATTTAATTATGAATTTGTACCAGTAGAGGTGGAACAATATTTTCCATTCTGAAGAAACTTTGAAAAATGTTTTCAGGGAACCAATATGAGCACCAATATCAGAAGTATTCACACGTGCCCTGAGATGACCCTTCCCTGTCCCCGTGACCCATGAAACACAGTGTGGCACAGTGCCTGGACCCTGAGGTCTACACACCGCTGACCTGCAGGCCCCTAGACATCAGTAGAGCTCACACAGGGTTAATTGTATGTTTCCTCATTTATTCACTTTGGAATTAATTAATTTAGTTATGTATTTATTCTAAAGAAAACATGCCCCAAAAAAGGGACTTTATAGTATTCAATACACACATACATTGGTAGATGTTCAGTAGGTTAAGTAGATTTTGTCTAAACTATTGATGATTTCTGTTAGGTACAAATCTTCCCATCCTGTCTTCACTCCTTACAATGATGAACACAGAAGTGTCTTCCACAGTCCAGTCCCAGTGCTATAGGAACCAGGGCCTCCTCACCAGGAGTTTTCTCTTCCAAATGAGGTCACATCTGTCTCCACATGGACAGAGTAATGGATGTCTCCTGTTGAAATGAATGATTTGTCTCATCATCCACAAAAACTCTCCAGAGAAAACCTCAGAACTCAGAAGTCTTCTTCCTAAAGCCTGTAGTGTTCACACACACATTCTTGTTCAGGAAGTGAAACTTGCTCTTCTCTGATCAGTACGTAATGGAGAAATAAACAAGGACCTGTTTGAGCAGGTGGGGGTGTCCGGGATGCAGGGAGCTCAGTCAGATTGCTGTGAGATCACCTGGCCCAGCCCCTCCTGCCCACGATGCGCGTGCACAGTGACAGTGCTCATGACAGAGCCACAGGGACCCGGCCTCCATCCCAGACGGGACATCCACAGGACTCCAGAGCCATCGTGATGGAGGAAACCCCAGGACAGACGGGGCCCAGCAAGGTCAGTCTACATGCACATGGCCTGTTGTCTGTCCAGTCCAACCCAGACTCCCTGTGTCCACTTCCATGTCTCCATGGAGGACAGCAAGAGGCCCTGGTCAGGGGACACTGAAGAGTACACCAACTTTCCCAGGGCGCAATAGGCTGAGCTCCCTGGGTATCACCAACCCCTATGTTTTATAGACTTGTGTCCCCAAGTACATTTGGTGGTTGGACAAAGAGAAAAAGAGGCTGTGAATCACTGAGTCAGAAAGTGAATGAATGAAGCAATTCTGTTAGGAATGTTCTGAATCCCTGAACAGTGTCACAGCTGGAGGGAGGAGGGCAGCATTTGAGACCTGTTAAGAGTGACCTGTGTGGGCGCCCTCTCTCTCTCTCTCTCCCCAGTACTCAGGGCTAGTATTTTAGGTACACACATGCATGTCAGCCCTTTCTGCATCTTTCCTGATGTTATTTATTTTCTGGTACTGTGCTGTGTTTTTGCCTGGGGCAGGTTGCAGACAGTGATTCTACACTTGCCTCCTGTGTAGCTGGAATCACAGGAAACAGCTGCCACATTCAGCTTATTGATTGAGATGAGGTCCTCAAAATCATTCTTCTCTCCTCCTCCCAAGTCTCTAGGATTACAACACCAGTCACCATGCCAGGCTTTTTCCCTGTTGGTCACAGAACAAATTCCAACTCTGTGAATCCTGGGATCTTTGTCCTGAGTCTCATGGGGTCACCAGCGTCCGTGAGTTTCTTCAGGATCAAATACTGGTCAACACTGCAGAGCCATTTTTGCTTCCACCATGATACTCTGTTCATTCTTAACAGTCCCAGCAAAGGACTGGAGACATCCCAGAGGAGTGCGGGTCATGAACTCAGGAGAGATGCTGTCACACTGTGGACACAGAGGCAGGGCAGACAGCAGGAGAGCAGCCCTGGGCTCTGTGTGCAGCTGCTCCTGAGCTGACCCAGCTCCAAGCTGTGCTGAGCGCCCCCTGCTGGTGCTGAGCGCCCTGCAGGGAGGTTTGTGTCTGGCCCACACTGGATTTCCTGCACTGTGTGTCTCTGGCAAAGTAATAGACGGCCGTGTCCTCCACTCTCAGGCTGTTCATCTGCAGGTAAAGTGTGTTCTTGCTGTTGTCTCTGGAGGTGGTGAAGCGGCCCTTCACAGAGTCTGCGTAGTTTATGCTACTACTACTACTACTGATGTATGAGAGCCACTCAGGCCTCTTCCCTGGAGCCTGGCGGATCCAGCTCATGTAATTACTACTGAAGTCGAATCCGGAGGCAGCACAGGAGAGTCTCAGGGACCCCCCAGGCTGCACCAAGCCTCCCCCAGACTCCACCAGCTGCACCTCACACTGCACACCTGCAAACACAGAGAATCCTGGTCAGCAATGGTCACACACATCCACGGTTCCTCCCACTCATGTCCATTTGCACACTCAGTATCCCTTGCTCCCCATAAATCACCTTTCAACAGAGCAACAAGGAGAACCCAGCGCAGCCCCAGCTCCATGGTGGTGGTCTGTGCTCAGTCACTGGTGGAATCAGCTCACAGAGCTCAGGTCAGGGATGGGCTGGTTTTCATGGGCAGAGGGACGTCCTATTTGCATGTCCTCTGCTATAATACATTGATGTACAGTTTATATTTGACATGATAGTAAATGTGTTTCCTAATTCTCTTGAATTCTGTATGTCTGTATATATGTTTCATTATGTCTCAATGTTTCTGGGAGATTTGTGGGCAGCATTTTCCATTAGGCTTGGGTTGATTTGTGTTTTTCATCTCTAGCCATCCTCAGATCTGATCTTGGAGATCATGGCAAAGTCAGTTTCCCCAATATGTTATCCTCTGTGCTTTGTTGAAGTGAAGTCTCCCTATGTTTAAGTAAACCTCACAGTGGAAAGCAGAACATCTGATGCAGACAGTCAAGGATGACTACAGACACAGACGTGGAGAAGTCCCTGGGAGACTGTCAGAGGATGAGCAGAAGTAGGGCAGACACAGAGGAGAGCTGGGGCAGGAAGAGCAGAGGCAGGGCCAATGCATTTGCTTACCAATTAATTAATTTAGTTATTATTATAAAGGACATACGTTAACAGGTACTGGTTATTATTCAATACAGATATACATTGTTAAATGACTAATAGGCTAAGTAGACACATGCTCTAAAGTATTAATGATTTTGTTTTGGTGAAATCTTTCCTTTCTTCATCTTTTTACAATGATTAGTGTTGTGCTACGAGACAGCAGCTCCTCCTGATGAGGAGTTTTCACATCCAAATGAGGACCCAAGACACCACAGTCTCCACATGGACAGAGTAATGGATGTCTCCTGGTGAAATGAATGATTTGTCTTATCATCCACAAAAACAGTCCAGGAGAAAGTCTCAAAACTTGCAAGTCTTCTTCCTAAATCCTGTAGAGTTCACACACACGTTCTTGTTCAGGAAGTGAAGCTTGCTATTCTCTGATCAGGATGTATTGGAGAAAAACATGGACCTGTATGAGCAGGTAGGGGTGTCCGGGATGCAGGGAGCTCAGTCAGATTGCTGTGAGATCACCTGGGCCAGCTCCTCATGCCCACGATGCACGTGCACAGTGACAGTGCTCATGTCGGAGCCACAGGGACCCGGCCTCCATCCCAGACGGGACATCCACAGGACTCCAGAGCCATCGTGATGGAGGAAACCCCAGGACAGACGGGGCCCAGCAAGGTCAGTCTACATACACATGGCCTGTTGTCTGTCCAGTCCAACCCAGACTCCTCCTGTCCACTACCATGTCCCCTGGAGGACAGCAAGAGGCCCTGGTCAGGGGAGACTGAGGAGTCCACCAGCGTTTTCAGGGTGCCATGGGCTGAGCTCCAGGGGTATGGCCAACCCCTGTGTTTTGTGACTTGGGTCCCCAAGTACATTTGGTGGCTGGACAAAGAGAAAAGCAGAATGAGAATATGAGTGTCACTAAGGAAGAAAGTGAATTAATAGAGCAATTCTGTTAGGTCAGTTCTGAACATCTGAGCAGTGCTACAGGTGGAGGGAGGAGGGCAGGATTTGAGGCCTGTTAAGAGTCATGGGTCAATGGGCTGTGTGCACTTTCTCTCTCTCCGTCTCTCTCTCTGTCTCTGTCTCTGTCTCTCTCTCTTTCTCTGTACTGTTTTGAACTCAGGGCTAGTCTTTTAGGCACACACATGCATTTCAGCCCTTTCTGCAGCTTTTCTGATGTTATTTATTTTCTGGTACTGTGCTGTGGTTTTGCCTGGGGCAGGTTCCAGACAGTGATTTCACACTTGCCTCCTGTGTAGCTGGAATTACAGGAAACAGCTGCCATATTCAGCTTATTGATTGAGATGAGGTCCTCAAAATAATTTTTCTCTCCTCCTCCCAAGTCTCTAGGATTACAGACACCAGTCACCATGCGAGGCATTTCCCCTCTTGTTCACAGAACAAATTCTGACTCTGTGAATCCTGGGATCTTTGTCCTGAGTCTCATGGGGTCACCAGCGTCCGTGAGTTTCTTCAGGATCAAATACTGGTCAACACTGCAGAGCCATTTTGGCTTCCACCGTGATACTCTGTTCATTCTTAGCAGTCCCAGCAGAGGACTGGAGACATCACAGAGGAGTGGGGGTCATAAACTCAAGAGAGATGCTGTCACACTGTGGACACAGAGGCAGGGCAGACAGCAGAAGAGCAGCCCTGGGCTCTGTGTGCAGCTGCTCCTGAGCTGACCTGGCTCCAAGCTGTGCTGAGCGCCCCCTGCTGGTGCTGACTGAGCATGACCTCAGTGTGTGCCCAGCGCCCCCTGCTGGTGCTGAGTGCCCTGCAGGGAGGTTTGTGTCTGGCCCACACTGGATTTCCTGCACTGTGTGTCTAGCACAGTAATAGACGGCCGTGTCCTCCACTCTCAGGTGTTCATCTGCAGGTAAAGTGTGCTCTTGCTGTTGTCTCTGGAGATGGTGAAGCGGCCCTTCACAGAGTCTGCGTAGTTTATGCTACTACTACTACTACTGATGTATGAGAGCCACTCAGGCCTCTTTCCTGGAGCCTGGCAGATCCACCTCATCCAGTAATTACTAAAGTCGAATCCGGATGCTGCACAGGAGAGTCTCAGGGACTCCCCAGGCTGCACCAAGCCTCCCCCAGACTCCACCAGCTGCACCTCACACTGCACACCTGCAAACACAGAGAATCCTGGTCAGCAATGGTCACACACATCCACGGTTCCTCCCACTCATGTCCATTTGCACACTCAGCATCCATTGCTCCCCATAAATCACCTTTCAACAGAGCAACAAGGAGAACCCAGCGCAGCCCCAGCTCCATGGTGGTGGTCTGTGCTCAGTCACTGGTGGAATCAGCTCACAGAGCTCAGGTCAGGGCTGGGCTGGTTTTCATGGGCAGAGGGATGTCCTATTTGCATGTCCTCTGCTATAAAGCAGCTCTGGGGCAGAAGTCTCAGGAGGACAGTGCACAGAGGAGATGCAAGTGGAAGACAGAGTTTGTTAGTTGAGTGGACAAACTATTAATTGGCTTCAAGAAAAACCATTGATTGAATCTGAATTTCTTTAAGAAACTTTAACTCTGATTCTGTTAGTGAAGATTGCTGAGCCATTTGCTTTTCAAAAAATATTTCCCTTTTCCTTTTGTCTTGTTTGTTACTGTGTTGGTATTTGGGATGGTAAGGGGTCACATATAAGCTGGAACAAGGAGGAACAAACACAATAGTGATACTCAGCAGATACTGTGGAAAATAAACTGGAAATCTTATGGGTGGGGACAGGAGGGAAGGATTGGGAGAGAGCAACAGAAGGGGAAAATGGTTCATACAGAACTGCACTGATTGTACCTGATTCATGGAACTGTAACTGCTCTGTACATCAACTACACAAAAAACAATTTTTAAAAATTCAAAAAAAATTAAATACAACATTTTGATCTTTAAGTTGCTCTATAGAGGATTTGCCGCTCAGTGAGGCAGTTTATGAGTAAACTGAGGCTTGATCAATGTCACACCTTTCAACATTCCTGCCTACCTCTCCAACCTCCTCTTCCCTCTCTCTAATTAGTGTTTAGGACATGTATGCTGACATCATTGAACAAAGCAGTTTGTGGATACAAGGCATGTGGATCTGTGTCATTCCTTCCTCACCTTTCCCCTTTGACCCACCCTTAGCTCAGTGTTCTCAATTCTGTGGCCTAGGCACTGTATTCTTGCCTGTGTTCTCCACGTTGTCTCCTTCATTCTTCTACCATTTGCCCCTCATCTCTCCACTCCCAGTACCCTCTTTCTGGTGCTTACTTTGTTGGTCTTTGACTTAGTCTTTGTGAAGAGCTGTACTCTTTGATCTCTCCATAGGGTCTATTGTATGTGTCTCCCAGTGAGACATATAACAACAGCAGGAGAGGACCATTAGCATCGTTGTTCTGGGAAGCAGGGATGACCTGAGCTCTCTGCTCTTGTTGAGTGTGTGGGGTCTGTGTGTCAAGTTAGGCTTTGCCTCTCTGGCGTGCCGAGCCCATAGTTCTGAGGACGCTGTCTAGTGGTCTTCCTGCGCTGTCCCCATTTCTCTAGTTGTCTCTGCCTGTCCCGAGCCCTCCATGAATCAGACGGTCTCCACACATCCATCTTGGATTCTGTGCCCTGCAGAGAGACCGTGTGACACCCTGAGGCCCGAGCTCCGTACAGGGTCAGCACTGAGCCCCACGCTGCCAGGACACAGGAGTCACCCCTGGGAAGACTGAGGTGGCCACATGGGCACACAGGGCAGTGTAGAGGGGTCTGTCCAGGGCGTCCTGGGCTGCACGGTGCCCGCACCATTCATGCCCCACTCGGCCCTCATCCTGAGCCCTGCGTCTGTGATGGAGTGGCTGCTCCAAGGCTCCTTTCAGTCTCAGCTCAGGGAGCCGCACTTGGCTTCCTCTTTCCATCACAGTCTCTTATCAGAGCTCCTGGACCACTCCAGCGTTCATGCCAAAGCTCATCTCTCTGCTCTGTCGGGTTTTCTGTTTACTTCTTTTTTCAGCTAGTCCTGAGCCTTGAACCTGGGCCTGGACTCCTTCCTTGAGCTCCGTTTGCTCAGGGCTGGCACTCTACCACCAGAGCTAGCACCGTGGCTGGCTTTGTCTGTGATTAATGGGAGATCAATGTCTCACGGAATTTCTGGCATAGGACGATTTTGAACAGTGATCCTCAGATCTGATCATCCTGAATGCTAGGAATGATAGGTGTGAGCCACCAGTGTTGGGCCCTTTTTCTTTTCAAATTAGCTTCATTGTACCAAATAATGGGTTTCCTTATGACATTTTCACATGAGTGTGTAATGCACTTTGATTGCACGCTCTCCTGCCCCTTACCAATCTTCCTGGCTTCTGCATATTATTGTCATTCCAGTTTTATGTTCATGCTTTTGATCTTGTTCAGATCCTTTTTCCACCCATGAGACAAAAATGCAGTATTACTCCTTTGGAGTCTGGCTTATTTTCATCAACAAAGTGTTCTCTATTTTTTCAATTTTCCTTCCAGTGATGTAAGTTCATTCCTTTTTATAGCTGAGTA